CGGCTGCTTCTCTCACAGCCTTTCCTGACCTCTGCCCATCCATTGTTCACCTGTCACCCCCTTCCCGTACATCCTCCCCTGCCCACCCTGGCCCTCCGTCTGCTGCTCTCCCTCCCTTCACCCACTCCCCCTCATCCAGCCGTGTGTTACCCACCGCTCCACACGGTGCCTCTGCCAACCCTGACCGGCCTTTTCCAGAACTGTGGCTGGAACAGAGGCAGAGGCCTTACTTGTGTGGAGCTGGGAGGGTACAGACGAGGGAGTACACCACCATTCCAGACAGGCCACTTGCAGGGGTTGTAGGGCTTAGTGAACCCGGGCGGGGGGGCTCCCTGGAGGAGAAGGCCTTGTCCAGGTAAAGATCTGAAGGCTGCGAAGAAGCACGGCCATCAGGCCCGCAGGCAGGTGGCTGGCAGGGCAGTGTGAGGCCAGGCCATCCTGGTTTGGGCCAGCCCCAGCAGATGGTGTGGAATGCGTTGAGCCTCGCACCAGCAGCTGCCTGTGCTCATCCTGTAAGAGCGTCACTTCCCTCCACGGGGGAGACGCTAGGCCCGGTCCCATGTGCTGAGAGGACAGGGGAGAGGGGCAGGAGCCTGGGTCCCGGAGGGCTCCTGCCTGACTCTGGTACACTGGGGAACCCCTCTCTGGATTCCTGGTCCCCACCCACTAAACTGGTCTGGTGGCCTCAGGGTTATGGGGGACCATCACGCTGTAGTTGTCAGAGCTCTCCCCAAGGTGGCCGCCAGGGGGCACCCTCAGGCCGCAGTGGTTCCAGAGGGCCTGGGGAGGCCATGTCCTGGGAGCAGGCCTGGGGAGGGTGTCTGCGTGGTGACCGTGGGCATGGCCCTCCAACCCAAGTCTCTCGTGGCGCCTGACCCTGAGCCACCGCTTGAGAGAAGAAGTGAGCGGAGAAGGCCTGGGCCTCGGAGGCCACCCCTCCTGTGAGCGTCAGGACCAGAGCCAGGCTAAGGCGGTTCTCGCTGAGCCCCCCCGGCAGACCTCGGGACAAAGGGGAGGCTCCTCATCCCTTAGGCCACCAGGAGGCGGCTGCCCCTCGGACCCTGCCCTGCCACCCGCCGTGGTCAGAGGACCTCCTCCCTCATGCCAGGCCACGTCCCCGAGCCAGGGCCTGTCCTGGGTGTGCGTGCCGCCCCCCGGGCTGGGTCCCCAAGTTCCCTGAGCTCGCTCAGTCATGTGCTGCCCAGACGCTGCCTCACAGTACTGAGGCCCCAGAGCGCTGGCTGGCGGGCGAGGGCTCGGGCGGGGCCCATGGTGCCCCGGGTGGCCAGAGGGCCGTGGTGCCCGGGGCCTCCTGGCACAGTCCCGGACCCCGCGAGTGCTGCTCCCAGCTGCCTGCTGGCCTGGGCATCCCCTTCCTGGCTGGCCTGGTCTCGGTGTCAAGGAAGCAAGAGGGCCGGTGCTCTGGGGTGGCCCACGCCGTGACGCGGGCTCCTTTGGGGTACAGGGCAGTGGGTAAGCACCCGGCTCTGAGCGTGAAGCCTAGGCAAGTCCAGTCGGCCCTTTGGGCCCGTTCCCTTTCCTGCAGAGGGGGTCAGGGCTGTTCGTGCTGTGGGCCGTCGGAGGCGGAGCATGGTGGAGTGGAGCCGTAACTGGCAGGTGGCAGGTGCTCCTGAGGGCAGCTCAGTGACGGGACAGTGATGATGACCGAGGGGCTTCTGCTCGGACCCTCCATTCCCTGGACCGGGGCTTTCCGAGAAGGGCAGCAGCGAAAGCACACGCTTTTCATCCGACATTGGGGACGTCCTTATTCTTCACACGATCCATGGCCTGACCAGCTTTGAGCCCTGTTTACAATTGGTGTCTAGGGGCCAGTGTGGTGGTTAAGGGTGGGACTCCCACCTGGCTGACCGTGCTTCGAGTCCTGGACCTGGTGTCTTCCTTTCTCAAGTTCTCTCTCTCTCCTCTCTCTCTTTCTCTCCCCCCTCCATCAAATTAAAATAAATATAGCAAAATAAAATAATTCTTTTTTTTTTTGGAGAGGTTTTCGCTATAGGGCGCGTGCGCTCGCCAGACAGACAGAGAGAGACATAGAGACAGAAAGCGAGAAGCCGCCCCCCCTGAGGGGATGGTCATGCCGCAATCCCTTCTCCTCCATTCTCCTCTTAGGATCTTGGGCACGCACGCACACACGCCCAGCGTGAGTTCTAAGCCACCGGGTCCGGGACGCGAACCGCGGTCGACTACGTGGGAGTCCAGCGACATAGGCATTATGCTAACTGCTGGTTCCCAAATAAAATAATTAATAAAAAAAAAAATCGGTGTCTGTCGGAGACCAGCAGGTGGCACGGTGGTTACGTCACAAGACTACTAGGGTATGAATGAGTGTCCCAAACCCTAGGAGAAGAGAGAAGGGGTCGCTGCGTGGCTACCCTCCTGGGGGGCGTGTCTCACTCTCTCTGTCTCTTTCTGGTGAATGCACGCACCCTGAGGCAAAAACCTTAAACAAAAGATCCGTGTCTGTTGGCCTGTGGAGACGGCCAGACCTGCCTGGGTGCGGACTCCTGCAGGACAGCGCCGCCTCTCGGGACTGCCTTCAGACGCGCCCACCCTTCCCCACCGGCCCCTTTCTCCTTTGTGGCCAATGTCCCAGCTGTCTCTGCCCTCCCAGGTCCCACATGTCACGTCGCTGGCTCAAACACTCTTGTCGCCTTCTCGCAGCTCCTTGTCTTATGGGCTCAGGGAGGAGGTGCTGTGGGTCCCCCCTGGGCCCGAGCCCGGGGATACTGGCCCACCCGGCCGTGGGAATGGGAGCTGGGTGTCGCCCAGCCTGCCGACGCCGAGGCCTCTCTGCTCTGCCTTCCAGAACATGCCCAACGTCCGCGACCACGATGCCTCTGTCTACCTCCGACTGCAAGGGGATGCCTTGTCCGTGGGGGGGTACGAGACCAACCCCATCTTCTGGGATGAGGTAGGACGCCGAGGCCTGGGCCGGCGGAGGGGTCAGGGCTGTGTCTCAGGGTGACGGGGCCGCTCCCAGAAAGCTCACCCCTGAAGCTCCTCTGAGGCACCCCGTGAACTGGCAGCCTCCTGGCCCGCCAGCCTCCAACCCACGCAGGGTGGGGGTGGGGAGAGGCCGCGAGGTGGGAAGGGACACTTCAGAAGCTCAGAACATTTAAGGCCTTGGCCTCAGGGAACAACGCTGGCCTGCCCTGCCCAGGCTGCAGGGCGTCTCCCAGCCAGGGCTGCACCGAGCTGCCTCTGGGCCCCGCCACCCACCCAGTCACGCCCTTCTCACAACACGAGGACCACGTGGCTGCCTTGGCCAGACACAGTTCTACTTTCTGGAGAAAGGGAAGCTGAGATAAAAGTCCCTGACCCAAGATGCTTTTATTTTGGTGGAGAGACCTATGATAAGCAGACAGCTAGGTACCATGGTGGTGTGGCGCTGCCCTGAATAGTTAGCAGGTTCAGGACCGACCTGGACACCGAAGGGCAGGCTGTCCCACTGCTGGTCAGGGCAGGAGTCCTCGGAGGGGACACCTGGTAGAACTCTGGCCCTGAAGGGCAGGCCAGCATGGGCAGGTCTGGTGAGGAGCTGCACAGGCAGGGCCCGGTCCAGCTTGCCCTTCTCAAAGAGAAGGGACGAGGGAGGTCGGAGTGGCCGTGGGCCAGCGTGGGGAGCCAGGGCCGGCTCGCGCAGGCTGCTGTGGGCCGCAGTGTCCGGCCATGGGAGGCTGAGAGGAAAACGGGCTGGGAGGACGGAAGGCCACGGGACCAGTTCAAAGAAGGGGGGCAGGCAGGCCCTGTGGGTGGGTTCCTGGGGGAGAGCCAGGCCGAGGGGACCCCGGAGTGACCGCACCCCTCCAGCCCTCTGACATTGACGAGGAGCTGGCCTGGCCCCCAGGGCCTAGGCCACGGTCACGGGACTGCAAGCCCCTCTGCCCCCACCCAGGTGTCGGACGAGTTTGCCTTCGGCCTCTTTGACCTGGACTGGGACGTGTTCACACAGCACATGGAGGGCGCCATCAACCGTGTCCCTGTGCTGGAGAAGACAGGGGTCAAGTCCACGGTCTGTGGCCCAGGTGCGTCCTTGCTGAGCTTTCTGCCCCGCCGCCCGGTGTCACCTGTCAGTAGCCTGGGTCAGGGGCCCAGACTTCCTGAGGACAGCAATTCACCCCTGGGCACGTGGCCGGGGCTTCCTGCACCCCCAGGAGGCACTGCCTGACCTCCCACCTGGGAGACCCGTCCCTAGACTCATATGGAACTCGCTGTTGCATCTGTAAACTGGGGTGCTGGGTCCTTCTCTGTAGCCCGGGAGGCCAAGCAGGGGACAGGCCAGCACCTTCACTGAGCCCCCACCCCTGGAACTGCTGGGTCTACACCCCTGGCCGGGACCCTGGCCCTCGGCCTCACTGGTGTTCTCCCGCCTGGGCAGTCAGCAGGCCCAGAGACCAACGCCTCACAGAAAGGCAGCCAGAGCCCCGGCCACCTGCTGCTCACTGGCCTCCAGGAGGGCCGAGCCGATGGAGGCTGGAGCAGGAGGTGGCTCAGCTCCCTGATGCCTTACCATGGGTCCCCAGTGTAGCCCAGCCCTCCTCCCCCCATAGCCGTGCTCACAGGGCATTGGAGGCTCTGCCCCAGGGTGAGCTGCAGGGGCGAGTCCATTGGCCAGGGGTTCCGGTAAGGGTGATCTCTGGAAAGGAGGTTCTCAAGGTGACCCCGGAGTCTGAATCCAACCGAGCTCGGCTCAGCCCGGCAGCCTGTGGTGGCCCAGGACCTGGCACCACTCATCTGGCATTCAGCCCACGCACGCCCATGCAGGGTCGGGATGAGCTGACCGACTCTGTGGGGCGGGAACCCAGGAGGGAGCAGCACGGGGACACGCGTGCAGGGTGCAGACGCCCCACGCGTGTTTCAGCAGAGTGTTGGGGTCCTGTTTCCTGTGCTCCCTGCCCGCTCTCAGGCTGGCCCCCAGGGGACACTTTGTGTCCAAGTCCCGAGTCAGCGTGGCTGGGCCCTGACTGGCGTGCCCCAGGAAGGTGGTCCCCTTAGTCTGGATGTTGCCATCTGTGAAGTGGGTGACCGAGCACCTGCTCAGCAGGGATGGCGTGGGGATGGGAGGCCACAGGCAGGGAGCGGGCCCTCGGCCAGGGCCCCGCAGCAGCGGTGTCATGAGTGGGAGTGGACAGCAAGAAGCCGGGGCCCAGGGAACTCTCACAGGTCATGCAGGGAGCAAATGGCTGGGCAGGCCAGGGCAGGGAGGGACTCTGTCCCAGTATGCTCGGCCTCACACAGCTGTGGGCCTGGCCTACTTTAACCCCTTTTTAAAATCTCTCCGGCTTGTGAGGAAGGCTTTGGTGCCGGTGCAGCCCTGGGGGGCTCCCCAGAGGAGCTGCCGCAGCCTGCAGCAGCCAGCCCGGGGCGCTGCACGGCTGTTCCTCACGATCCCCTGCCTCTCCCCCAGCATGCACTGGGCGCTGCCCGGCTGTGACTCACGATCCCCTGCCTCTCCCCCAGCATGCACTGGGCGGCGTGGGAAACCGGGCCTGGGGGAGCCTGGGGGTGCACAGACAGAGCGTGTGCTTTAGTCAGAGCAGGGCCGTCCTTCCCGCGGAGGCCCTGTCTGGGGGTGGGGGCGTACCTGTGAGGACACAGTCTGGGCTTCCGGCTGCCGTGGAGGCCCCTGGGAACCAGCATGCTCCTGGCCAGGGATGTTCAGTGGCTTTTGGCCTCTGCAGGAAAAAGGGACATCCAGGCCCTTTATGCGGGAGCCTCAGGGTGGATGGAGCTCTCGTCCAGGGTGGTGGAGGTCAGGTCATGGAGAGGGTGGAGGCACGAGTCTGCCACCTCCACACCGTCCCTCCACACAAGTCTGCCACTCCCATCCACACCGTCCCTGTCCACACCACTCCCATCCACACCGTCCCTGTCCACACCACTCCTGTCCACACTGTTCCTGTCCACACTGTTCCTGTCCACACCACCCCCGCCC